GGGCAATGGGAATATATTTTCAGTAAATTTTCACTGTGAACAAAAGCTACGTCGTACAAGCCACCGATGTATTGTATTCAAAATGTGGTTTTGCTGTGTGCATCAAAGCCAAAATCGAGAGTGTATTTATTAAATAGAAATGGTATTTGAATTTTAAATGGACGCATGAGTCAGTGGATTGTGTATGTGTGCGCGTGGGTGAATGTATTTATGTTTGTTGTTGCTCCCATACAGGCTGCATTTTATTGCATGGCATACGCGCACAGCTGTGATGCCAATGAAAATATCGTATTCGAGTTGTCGGATTTCTCTGTTTGTTCGTTATTTTCGGTGTTTTGTTGTTCGTGCTGTCCATTTCATGTACTATTTTCCATGGCCAAACATTTGACTGTGTGCAAAACGCTAGAAAATATTTTCACAAATGCACGCTGCCATAACAACCGACAGTTTTCATTCGAATAAATCCACTTTCATCCCTCTTTCACCGTCGTATTCAAATGCAACAACAAATTACACAATGACAAACAACTAACACGCAAAAACAACAGCAACGAGAATAAAAGTAGAAAATCCATTTGAAAATGCAATCACAGTCCGTTGTACTATGGATTCATTAGAGGAAATGTTTTGTTGTGTGCAAATTGTGAGTAAGGAAGGTAACGCTTGGGTTGCGGCAAAAAAAACCATACCGGCAAAGAGAGAGAGAGAGAGAGAGAGAAAAAATGCACCATCCAAATGGCATCGGTGTCAAGGCAACGCATTTTACATTCCAACATTCAATCGTTTATGTTTGTTTGTGCTGCAATACATTCGTCATTTCCACGTTCAATTCCGAAAATTGAATTAAATTCACATTTTTGAGCTGGTGAAGTCGTTCGTGTTATTTTCCGGGAAATTTATTAAATCTTGAATGAGTAAATGATGCTTTGATGTTATTATTTTACCATTCATTATGTGAATTGCAACAGCGTCGGTTGCAAGTCACAAATTAAAATCGTCTGCACGGGCAGATCATACTTCTGACGAAATTTAATCTGCTTCAATAATAAGTTAAAGACCACTCATACCGCATAATTCATTCAATTTTCACTCGAATGCAATAATATCTGGTTTGTTCGTGGAAAGGAAACATAGAAGAACAGTGAATAGCCATCAGTTAAATTCCACTTGTAGGGTTCCACATGTAATTGTTGCTCTATCCCATTTTGGATGGCGGATCTGTGGCGGTGGAATTGTGTGGCATTCTTTGTATTCAACGAATGATGGGAATTTCCATTCATTTTTCTGCTTCTGATCATTTTCAGATGAGTACATAATTTTCATATTCCTTTTTCTTGTTCAAATACTCGAAATATTCGAGAACAGTTTTTGATTCGGAGCACCAAACGAGCATAGCTTCTGACGACCGCGCGCCGAGGGGGGGTAAATTTCAATCAAAATGTAGGGGGGTAATTTCAAATGTTTTCCATAAAATTGCGGGGGTAAAATCCAATTTTTGTAAGGAAAATTGCGGAACAAATTCATTTCAAAATCAATTTTCTTAAGTATAAAAGATAAAAGAACATATGTATTGAGTTTATTTTGTATATTACTTGTATACACTTCAAAATTAGTTATGTGAAATATTATATCACTATATGTGATTTCAAAATACTCAAGTTTAGTTACTCGAAATCAAGCGAAAAAACGATCAAAATAGAAATTGGTGTTATTCGAAAAAAGGTGAAGTGACATTTATGAGTAATCAATTGTAATTATCAGTAAAAAAAGTGCACATTTTAAATTATATCGATTTTATCCACAGCAATCTGACGCAAAAAAAGATGATCAATAAGAAGGTCATCGGTTGAGATGCTCAAAATGATTGGGATTTTGAAGGTCGAGGCTCTACCAAACTAAAACTTAATTACAATTTCAATGACTGCGTTTTTAAAATACAAATGGTTTTTGAATAAAGATTCAATGTAAAACAGTGATACATCTTTAATTTAATAAGAGACAAATTTTTGGTGGAGTAAACAGAATTTTTCTAAAATCAGAGGGGGGTAATTTATTTAGCGCACTCAAGGGGGGAGTAATACGGACCCTGCGGACCCTCATCAGAAGCTATGCAAACGAGTCACTCAATGTTAAGGCACATCCTTGTGTATGTGTGAGTATAAAGAGGATTCTCAGAAGTATTTTAATTAGGTTAAAACATGCTTTCAAATGTGAATTCACTGTAGAAAGATCTCTAAATGGAAAGTAACGATAAAGTGACTGTTGAGGAGCTACTACGAGCAGTTGATGCAGTACATTTGCAATTTTAGTAGATAGCATCACTTTTCAGCTCTACTGTGCTCACTAGTGTTCAACACTACTAATACTATGCATTCACAGTATATTTAATCAGTTCACGCTTTGATGTTTGTTATTGAATTCGAGATTCTAATCCTTATTTATATTGATTGATAGATAGATTTGGCACAATGTGGAGAGATAGTGTGTGTCTCTCTCTCTCTGTGTGTGTGTGTTTATATTTGGTTGCCAAATTTGATATTTCGTAAAATGTATTTGAATTATTTGATTTGCCATTGAATGGAAAACAGAAACCGAATCCAAACAAATAACTACAGCAAATATTTGATGAAATCAAAAATTCAACCAACTTTGCCAATTTTAATTGAACAACTTTCGAAATGGAATACACAAACACAAATTGGAGCCAGAGTGTACCGAAGCGAAAGATGGCAGAAACAGAGAGAATGCAAGAGGGAGACCGCATTGTGTAGCTGCATTGAATGATCAAAAGTGGTCCGATCTAATTAGACACCGATTGTCGGATTAAATCCATCAAACTGTAGTGCGCTTTTTTGTTGTTCTCTCCGAAATTCTCAAGAGTCTTTCAAAATCGCTGAATGAAATGCAGCAGACGTTGTGCTTCATTAGTTTTAAACAAAGCATTTTCACAGTGTCTTCAGTTTCCTCATCTATATCTTTTTTTTTATCTGGTTGATTCGTTGTGTTTGTATGTGTGCTGGGTGTACAAAAATAAAATTCTCTCTGTACTCGTCGAGCAGTCGAAAAATTCCGTTCGTTAGAAGCATTAGCGACAGAAAGTCCAGACGTCCAATAGAAGTGGAAAGAAGGAAGAATATAAGGGAAGAAGAATGGCTAAGATGCAATCATCCGTCGTCGTTGTTGTCGTCGTAGTCGCTGCTTTTCATTGCATGCTTCACTTGCTTGTCTATCTTAAACTATTTTCCGACGTATTTGGAGCATGTATTTATATCGTCGTCTCCATTTTCCGCTATCACTCGACGTGAACGGCCACATCACAAGTAACAAATCGAAATTAATAAAAAAAGAACGATGAAAAATCCAGTGAATCTGGAGGAAAAATAAAGGCAAAACGGATTGGATGTACTCCATGCGAGCAAGGGTGCCAAGTAATGAAAGTATGTGATCCAAATATTCCATAATTGACAACAAAACAAGTTTCTCTCTCTCTCTCTCTCTGCTCGTTGCTCTTGTCTCTCTTCCTTGGACACAATAGAGGTAGACACAGAAAATTACGCTTACTTGGCATGTCAACCCGTTCGTTCCCATGATTAAAAACAATTGTCAATCCCAACTTCGATTCATTATCTATTCTCTCATAAGCGTAAAAAGTGAGAGAAAAAAAATTTATCCGTCGGGAGAGTGTGCAACAGAGTAAAAACAGGCGGCACATTTCCAAGGCGCGCAACGAGATTTGCCATTACTGAGAGAGACACACAGAGAGAGAGAGAGAGAGAGAAAAATGTTGCTCATGAATATTGAATAAATGGAAAATAGCAAACTGATTCGCAAGATGTGCATCCGCTCCTTGATTCCGCATACAAAACCGGCGCGCACAGCAAATGATGATTATTTTGTATGAGTCCACAAGGAGATGTGTTTGTTTGTCTTTTGCCATTTCTTTTCGGTGAATTGTTTGCGTTTCAACGCTTTTCAT